TCCTGAGCTGAGAGGAACTGTTTCCAGGATGTCTCACTTCAGTATGGGGGTGGCCTTGGGTTTGTCACTGGTAGCCTTTAAGAGGTTGAGGTCAGGCCCTTGGATGTCTAGCTTCTCCAGTCCTTTAAACATGAGGGGTGCTGGGCTCCTCAAATGCTTTTCCTGTACCTGTTGATGTGATGGTGTGACCCTTGTCCTCACCTCTGTTTATGTGGTGAATACCATATTGATATTATTAATCTGTATATGTTGAGCCAACCTCCCACCCTGTGGTGGGAGGTACCACCTTCTCATGTGTCCTTCAAGGCTCTGTGTCCATATTCCTGTGCCCAGGAAACTCACATCTGTGTTCATCAATGTTATTTGTCTGGAATCTCCTTTCCTGAATGTGTTTTATTTGGCTTTGGGTCAGGGAGTAACTGACTTCACAGAATGATTGATTCAGTGTTTTCTATTTTACATTTCAAGAAATTATATAAGGAGGTGACTTATCTCTTATCGCTTCTTTAAAGTTCTCTTAGAGTCAACTGGGAAGTAATCTTCTTCTGGGCTTTTTGCTCTTGGAAAGTCTTTAATGGCTTTTCAACTTCATTGCTTGAACTTTTTCTATTTAAATTTTTACATTCTTTTGCTTCAATTTCAGCAAGTTTCATTATGTTTAGAATTTTTTAAATCTCTTCAAGTTTTTCTAGTTTACTGGAGGATATTTTATATTTATTTATTTTTTAGTTATTGGTGGACACATATCTTTATTTTATTTTATTTTTTTATGTAGTGCTGAGGATCAAACCCAGTGCCTCATGCGTGCTAGTGGAGCGCTCTGCCTCTGAACCGCAATCCCAGCCCCAGGAGGATATTTTTAAAAAACAGTTTGCAATAATTTTCTGGATTTCAGAAGAGCTTGTAGGCATATCTTAGCTTTTGTATTTTATTTTCTATAGTGTGCCAATGGTTTCTCCATCTTCTTTAAGTTTTATAGGAACCATGTCCTTGTGTCTTTGATAGTGTGCATTGTGTACACAGTCCCTACAATCTTCAGTCAGAGCAATCGCGCCAGAGAAGGACATTAAAGGGTTACAGAGGAAAGACTGAAGTCTGAATATGCTGCTTGCAGGTGGTGTGACCCAATGTCTAGAAGAACCAATGTCTCCATCAGAATGCTTCTAGATCTGATTAAAAAAACTTTAGCAATGTAGGTAAATACATCATGCATCCATAAATAAACCACTTTCAAATACTTCTAAAACAGGTCTGCTGAGAAAGAAATCAGGAAAATGTTCCCATTCTAAATAAATTAAAAAGTAGTTGGAAAGAAATCAACCAAGGAGGTGAAAAATCTCTACAATGGAAACAAAACTGAAGACCTTAGAGATGGAAAGAACTGCCGATTTCTGCTATTGTCAGAATGATTACTATCAAATGGCCAAACTACCAAAAATGTCACAGAGATTCAATGAAATCTCCAACAAATACCAAAGACATTCTTCAAACAACCAGAAAAAAAGAATCCTGATATTTGTGTGGAGAAATTAAAAACCCAAAATAACCAAAGTAACTCTAAGTAGGAAGATTGAACCTGAAGTTGTGAAAATATCTGACCTCAAATGATTTGACAGAGCTGCAGTAACAAAAACAGCAGGCACTGACCCCAAAGCAGACATGAAGACCAATGGAATAGAAGGTACAGAGACAAGCCAACATAAGTGCAGTTATTTGGCACTTGACAGAGTTTCCAAAATCTGTTTGGAGACTTGACAGTGTTTTCAACCAACAGAGCTGAGAAAATTGAATATCCCGATATGAAAAAGGATACAGTAGATCACTATCTTTCACCCTACAAAAGTCAACTCAAAGTTGATCAGAAATTGAAGAATTAGACTAGACACTCTGCAAGGGCTAGAATCAAATATTGCACCAACCCTCCTCTGGACTGACACAGACACCAACTTCCTCAACCAGGTCACTAAAGTGCAAGGATCAAAACCAGGAATCATTAAGCAGCACAGTATCAAATTAAAGCCTTCAGCACAGCAATGGAATCCAGCCACAGTGTGAGGAGAGAGCCTGGGGGAATGGGATATCATTGTCACCTGCTCCCTAGATAGGGCACAAATACACAGAATATATAGAGAACCCCAAACTCTTAATGACCAGACCAAATAGCCCAATAAATAAATGGGAAAGAGGTAAATGGACATTTATCAAGAGAGGAAATCTAAGTGGCCAACAAATATAAGAAAACATTGTCAATAGTCCTAGAAATCAGGAAATGCACCTTGAAACTGCCTTGAGACTTCATCTCAGTCCAATCAGAAGGCAACCATCAAGAACACAAATAACAAAAAGTGTCAGCAAAGATGTGGGAAAGAGGTGTACGGATGTGTTATTGCTGGGACTTCAAATTAGTGCTGCCATTCTAGAAAGCAGAAAGGACATTACATGAAGACCAGGAATGGAGCCACGATGTGACCCAGCTGCTACTCCTTGGTATTTATCCAAAAGACCCCAAATCAGCACAGCACAGCTATCTAGCCACATCAGTGTTTACACCAGTGGGCCTGAAAAGAGCTACATTACATAACTTTCCCAGATGTCCATCAACAGATGAGTGGATAAAGAGAAGGTGGTGTATATACAGAAGAGTGTTTCACTCAGCCACAGGGAAGAGGGAAAATAAGGCAATTTGCAGGTCAGTGGATGGATCTGGAGAATATCAAGTCTATTAAGCCAGATTCAGAGGGAGAAATGTCAAGTGTTTAATCACAAATGTGAATTGCAGATCACAAAAGGGGAAAAGTTCTGGGAGGAGTCCTCTGGAAACAGAAGAGGGAGCAGGAGGAGAGGAAGGGGATCAAGGGTGAGGTAGGGGAACAGAAATGGGACAAGCAGTGGCATGACACTGATGACGCATTCATGTGTCCTGTGTGAGGATGGCACAGTGGATGTCCCCTTTATGTGCTCTAAGAGGCACTAATGAGACCAAATTATAGAAAAGATCTGTCGAGAAAAGAAAGGGAAAAAGGGTCAGGAGGGAGGGGTAAAGAGGAGTGAGAAAAAGGGAGATGGCAGGGGACAGAAGTGGAGAAATTATGTCCCATGATTGTGTACTTATGCCCAATTGAAATGCAGTATCATTTATAATTATGGTGCAACAATGAAAAAAGAAAGTATAAATTAAAAACCCAAATTTTTCTCTTCAGAGACATAAGAGATTGGTAGGAAAAATATGTCCAGGGAGCTCTCCTAGAAAGCGGGTACATGAAGAGGAGGGGCCCCAGATGAAGGAAATCTGCCCCACCCCCTCTGTACCTGCTCCTGGGTGACCCTGAGCTCCCTGTGTGCTGAGAGCCCCCTGCTGGCCCTGGGCACCCTGAAGGGGGGTTTGTGTCTGGGCTCACACTGAGGTCCCCTCACTGTGTCTCTGGTACAGTAATAGATGGCTGTGTCCTCAGTTCTCAGACTGCTCATTTGCAGGTACAGGGTGTTCTAGGCGTCCTCTCTGGAGATAGTGAATCGGTCTTTTATTGACGCAGCGTATACTGTGCTGTAACTATTAGCTTTGTGTTTTATAAGAGCAACCCACTCCAGCCCCTTCCCTGGAGCCTGGCGGACCCAGTGCATCCAGTAGTTACTGAAGGTGAATCCAGAGGCTGCACAGGAGAGTGGCAAGGAACCCCCAGGCTGCACCAGACCTCCCCCAGACTCCACCAGCTGCACCTCACACTGGACACCTGCAAAAACACAGAGGCAGCCTGGTCAGGACACTGTCACTCATCCACTCTGTCTCTCACTGCTGTCCACTCACACACTCAGGATCTCTGGTTCTCCATTCATTACCTTTGAAAACAGCCACCAGGAAAACCCAGCTGAGCACACTCTCCATGGTGAGCAGCTGTGTTCAGTCCTGATCACTGAGTGGGCTGAGCTGGGAGTCCAGGGCTGGGCTCCTGTGCAGAGCTGCAGGGTCAGGTGGGCTGGTTTTCATGAGCAGAGGGAGGCCATATTTGCAAGTCCTCCCACTATATAGGAGCTCTGGGTGGAGGCCTCCTAGAGGAGCATTTAGGGTAGAGGTGAGCATCAGGTGCAGTTAGGAGCACACAGCAGCATTTTGGAAAGTAAAACTGCTTTTGTGTATTTTTCTGTTTTGCCCACATCATCCATTAACATGTTTTTCACATCTACATAATCATGACAGAAGGATCAGGGTGAATTCCATGATGCAGTTATGAAATCACACAGAAGCTTGAGTGGTGTTCCACTGTGCCCAACAGCCCATATCTGGCAAGAACAAGTTGAGTATTTAGGCTTCTGCTCTTACCTTGGACAGGTGTGGTCCCCTGAACCTCCTACAACTCACAGGTGGACACGCTTAGTTATCTTATCAGAACATGTTTTGTGGATGATCCCACACTTGGTGTGAGCTGGGCTCACTCAGGCTGGAGCAGACTGTGGGCTGGACAATCTCAAGGGCACAGGGGAGTCCCTGGCATGTGACCTCCTGACTGATGTCAGGCCATGTGCAGGACAGGGAGGGGCAGAGAGGGGCAGTGCAGGCAGAGCTGGGGCTTTGCACTTTGGCCAGGAGAGCAGCACACTTGTGGTGCTGCCCAGGAGCTGTGGCCAGGAGGGGGAGGCCAGCAGCTCCACTGGGAGCAGCCCAGGCCTTTGCACCCAGAGGATGGAGGGTGTTTCAGCATCCCAGGGATCAACAGGGCCCAGCTTCCCCAGCTCAGAGGCAGAGATGAGGATCTGAAAGACCCTCCAGGGCAGGGCCTGTGGGAGAGAGCTCTGGGCTCCTGACCCAGGACTGCCCAGGGCATGGTTTCCCCTGTTCAGCCATCAAGGGGCTCAGAGGTTCCCAGCCCTGGTTCAAGGGAGGTCAGGACCTGCTCCCTGCTGAGGGTGACCTTGCCCTCAGCCACACCATGCTGGCTTTCATGTGGCAGACTGTGAGATCTACAGGGTCAGGGAGGCTTACATGAATACTTGAAAGGAAGGGCTGGGAGGTCAGATGGGGGTCAGGGGTCAGAGTCCCTGCTGGCAGCCCTGGCAGGTGATGCATGGGGCTGTGAGATGAGGCCAGGGCTGCTGAGGAGACCCCAGGAGCAGAGGAGCCAGCAGTGAGCACCCTTGCCCAGGAAGCTGGATGCCAAGCTCACTAATCATGTGGCTAGGGGGCTGTGTCCAGCTGGGCTGTGTGCTAGGGATGTCCAGAGCCCTCACTCCTTTCACCCACAGTGGCCCTTAGGACAGATGTGGAACAATGGGTTTAATGTCAGTCCTGCTGGGCTTCAGTCCCCTTCAGCCTGTTTCCTTTTTATTTCAGATGGAAATATTTACCTGTGCCCTACAACTTGGGGGTGTGAAACCCTCAGTTGATTTTAAGGCACACAGTAGGTTTTCCCTGAATCTTGAGGAGTCTTTGCACTGGACTTCTGAGCTCAGTTGAAGTATTTGTGCCTTGAGGGTCTCAAGCCTGAGTACTGAATGTGCTCTGCCTTATGAGATGGATGAGAAAGCTTTGTGTCCAGGGATAGAATGATGAGTGTGCATAATTGTCCTCCCAAAATTCCATGTGCTAAGGATGTTCTTCAGCTCCTTGGGCTGTGGGGGTGGGGTGGGGATCCCTTAGGACATGGGGACTCATGGGATATCTGTAAATCACAGTGGACATGCCCTGCAAGGGGACTTTCAGACCCCGTCTCTTCTTCCTTCCCTTTGGAGTCCTTCAAACTAGGTGAGTGGCTGTCCCCACAGTGGGCTCTCTGCATTGCCCCTGGCACACCCAGGAAAGGTGTGAATGCAGTGGACTCCCGTCTTCATGGACTAGAGCATTGGAAGTCAGGAGCCAAAGGAAAGCTCCTCTTCATTTGTTGGTGGCCTCAGGCACTTGCCACAGGGGTGCACACATGAGGAACCCAATTTAGGTTACAGTGCTAGGAGAAAAGGCCAGGACTGAAGGATAACCTCTTCCTGGCCTCATTCTCCTGTCCATGTAAGAAGCTGGCCTCAGAGGAGCAGAGCTGGACAGTGGCTGTGGTGGTGAGCAAGGTCAGGAGAGGGAGGAGCTGAGACAAGAGGCACATGGCCATGGCTGACACAGGAGCACTTGTCTGTCCTCACCCAGAGGGTGGCTGTGGGCAGCACTCTCACCCTGCAGACCCAGCAGAGCCAGCAGGAGGGATCAGGAGGGCTCTCCTCCCAGGAGGGAGAGTGTGGGGTGATGGGTGGACCACTTGTCCTGAGCTGACCAACAGGCCATGCTCAGGCACACAGACCACTGCTCTCACCATGAGGTGAAGCCAATTTTCACAAACTGAAATGACAGCTCTGGGGTGTGGCCACAGATAGAACAGGCTCCACATACACAGGCCCTGGATTCCCCCTGGAATCATAAAGATCATAAAGTTATTTGATTATGATGTAGAGATCTACAAGGAAAATGTCCCCAGGCCCCAGGATCAGGAAGTTAGCAGAAGCTGGAGATGGA